AGGCAGATACAGAGAAAGTTAAGAAAGATAGCAAGGGAAAAAAGGGAGGCAGAAAAATGGGTAACGGTAGGTTACCAAAAAATATGGGAGAATAATAAGAAATGGAGATGGAACGAAAGCAAAGAAGCGCTAGAAGAAAGGGATTACTTTCGCAGATAAGAAAGAAAAGAAGAAGGATAAAGAAGGGTTAAGAATGATGAACGAGAGAAGGAGGGAAGAGATACAAGAAGGAAGACAGGAAAGGTCTAAGGAGGTAGAAGAAAGGCAGAATACACCAGAAGAAACCAGAATGGACGAAGCAAGTATAAAAGAGGTAGATGAGGAAAATATTAGAGGAAACGGTATAAGGGAAGTCGAGGGGCAAGAGAAAAGATATATAGGAGAAGAGGAAAGAAACGACGGGGAGAGTGAAGAGACGTGGAAAGTGGCCTTTTGGAACGTTGCTGGTTTATTAAACAAGGATAAGGACTTCTGGGAAGGGATAAAGGAATGGGATGTGATTGTGATGATGGAGACGTGGACTGATGAGAAAGGATGGGAGAAGGTGAAGGAGAAGCTACCGAGAGAATATAGATGGAGAGTGCAGATAGCAGCCAGGAGGAACAAGAAAGGCAGAGCGTGCGGAGGCATGTTGCTAGGAATAAGGAAAAGCATAGAAGAGATAAAGGAAAGAAGGGAGACGGAGGAAGAAGGAAAAATCGAAGGTAAGATAAGAATAGGAGAGGAAGTATGGAGAATAATAGGAATCTATGTAAACAACAATATAGACGAGAAACTAGAAGGTCTGAAGGAAAGGACGGAGGAGAGGGAAAGAGGAGTAAGGACCATAATAGGAGGTGACTTTAACGCGAGAACGGGAGAGGAAGGAGGTTGGGAAGAGGAAATCGAGAGAAGAGAGGAAAGAGGGAGGAAGTCTAAAGATAAGAAGATAAATAAAGAAGGCAGAAAGTTACTGGAGTTTATCGAGGAGAGAGGATGTATGATATTAAATGGAGGCACGAAGGGGGACGAGGAGGGAGAATATACATACACAGGGGAAAGAGGTGAGACAGTCATAGATTACATAATAAAGGACGAGGAGGTTAGAGAAAAGGTGGAAAGACTGGAAGTAGGAGAAAGGATAGATTCGGACCATCACCCATTAATACTATGGGTGAGAGCAAGCTCGAAAAGAAGGCAAAGGAGGAGAGGAGCGGAAAAAATGAGAAGAAGGGGAGTATGGAATGATGAAAGTAAGACGCAATTTAGGGAGAAGTTAGGCACGATTGGAGGAAAAAGAGACCTGCAAGAGGAAATATAGGAAGAAACAAGGAAGATAAGAAGAGTGATTGAGGAGAACGAGGATAAGAGTGAAAGAGAGGCTATCAAGAACAAAAGAGGGTGGTGGGACGAGGAATGTACGGAGAGCAAGAGGGAAGTGAGGAGAGAACTAAGGAAATGGAGAAAAGGGAAAAGAGAGGCAGAAAGATACAGAGAAAGAAGGAAAAAATATAGGGAAATGTGTGATAGAAAGAAGAAGGAGAAGAAAGAAAGAATGATTAGAGAGATTGGAGAAGCAAAAACGGAGGGAAAGGTATGGGAGTTGATAGGCAGAGTAAGGAAGAGAAGAAGAAGGGTGAATGAAGAGATAAAACCGGAAGAGTGGAAGGAGTATTTCATGGATCTGATGGGTGGAGTGGAGAACAGAGTGGTAAAGGGAGAGGGAGACAGAAGTAGACAGGAGGAAGAAGAGATAGGATTAGAAAAGATAAGAAACGTAATAAAGAAACTAAAGACGGGAAAAGCAATAGGCAATGACGGAATACCTAATGAGGCATGGAAGTACGGGGGAGAAGAAATGGTGAAATGGATATGGGAGGTATGCAAACGTGTCCGGAGAGGTGAAGGCTGGCCGGAACAATGGAAGGAAGGGGAGATAATCCCATTAGTTAAAAAAGGAGAAGGGAGAGAGGTGAAAGACTATAGAGGAATAACCATCATGTCTTTGATGTACAAAATCTACACGGCGATACTGGCGGAAAGAATAAGAGAAGAAGTAGAAGCGAAGAAATTGATTCCCGATAATCAAACGGGATTCAAGAAAGGAATGGGAACGATGGATCAAATATTCGCTTTGAACTACCTGGTGAACAGACAAATAGGAAAAGAGAAAGGAAAGATGACGGTGTTTTTTGTGGATCTGAAGGCGGCCTTTGACTCAGTGGACAAAAGAGTATTAATCAAGGCAATGAGAGAAAGAGGAGTGAGACAAGGATTGATAGACAGAGTAGATGAAGTACTGAGGGAAACAAAGAGCAGAGTAGGGAAAGGAGGAGAGAGTGGTAGTCAATTTTGGACGGCGAAAGGCCTGAGACAGGGATGCCCACTAAGCCCAATATTATTCAACCTATTAATCGCAGACATAGAGGAGTATATAAAAAAAGGCGGATGGGGAGGAGTGAAATTAAGAGGTGAGAAAATATACACGCTAATGTATGCAGATGATATTGCACTGCTGGCAGAGGAGGAGCAGGATATGAGATCAATGATAAGCAGGTTAGAAGGATATCTAGACAGAAAAGGGTTAACTCTGAGTATAGAGAAGTCAAAGATAATGAGATTCAGAAAGGGAGGAGGAAAGAAGAAGTACGACTGGAGGTGGAAGGGAAAAAAATTAGAAGAGGTTAAAGAATTCAAGTATTTAGGGTATACGATGAAGGAGAATAGAGGACAGAAGGCGCATATCAGAGAGAGAAGAAGGAAGGCAGCAAGAGTAATGAGGGAAGTGTGGGGGATAGGGAAGAGGATGTGGAAAAAGGACTGCAAAAAAAGGATCTGGCTATACGACACACTGATATGGACAGTGATGGGATACGGGACAGAAGTATGGGGATGGAAGGAGAGGAGGGAGGTAGAAGGTATTCACGAGAGATATCTTAGATGGGTACTTGGAGTAAACTGGAGGACGCCGGGATATATGGTCAGAGACGAGCTAGAAAGAGAGAAGATAAGAAGTAGAGCAAGCAAGAGAGCATGGAAATTTGAAAGAAAATTGGAAGAAGGTAGAGGAGGAGAGATAGCGAGAAAGTGTCTGGAAGAAATGAAAGAGAGATGGAAGAGAGGAAAGGTAATAGGGAGATGGGAGCAGGAGAGAAAAGATTACTTGGAAGGAATCGGAGTAGAAATGGAAGGAGGAGAGGAGCTGGAGGAGGAGGAGTTGGAAAAGAAGGAGAAAGATAAGGAGAGACAAGAAAGGATGGAAAAGATCGTAGGATCGAAGTACAACAGATGGTATAAGAGCATAAGAAAGGACGGGATCCCGGACTATCTAAAGAAGGGATGGGAGGAAGCAAGATGGAGCAGGATTGCAAGATTTATGCCCGTATTCATAGTCCTTCCTTGAGGAATGAGGATTCCTTGTTCCTTATTCTACATTTCATAAACCTTCCTTGACCGAACAAGGAGTCTTATTGGCTCCCTTATCTCAAGGCAGGTCACGAGCTTCCTTGAGGCGGCGACTGCAACCTTATTATCAGAAAATTCGATAATATAACCTACAAAAGTGTCTGCATTTTACGGAGTACTGTCATTACGGAGTGCTACAGTATATATTGCAATTAAAATGGATAATGAATTTTTAAACGATTCAGATTCAGATGATGGATTTGAAGATGAAAATGTGGAAAATGATATTCGGTGGCGTTTGCCAAAAAGATATATTCGTGACTGGGAAAATCCTATTGAGTTTTACGAAGATGGGCCTTTCAAAAAACGCTATAGATTCAGTAAAAAAGCTGTAATTGATATTCTGTTACCACTAGTAAACGAACAGCTACAGCGAAATGATAACCGCGGGCTGCCGATTTCTCCAATAATGCAACTTTTAATAACTTTGCGATTTTATGCAACAAGTAGCTTTCAAGTACGTATATAAATTTTGCCTTATACTTGTGAAATCTTTCTTATATTTTTGATGTACTTTTTATTCAGATTGTTAACGGAGATATTAGAGGAGTCAGTCAAGCATCGGTATCACGTATTGTTGCACGAGTATCAACAATTTTAGCATCTCATTTAAAACAGTACATAAACTTTTTAACACAACAGCGGCAAAGGCAAAATACTAATAGATTTTATGAGGTAGCGAATTTTCCACGTATAATAGGATGTATCGATTGCACTCATATACGTATTGCCAATCCTGGAGGAAATAATGGGGAAATATTTCGGAATCGAAAAGGATGGTTTTCGTTGAATGTGCAAGTATGTTGTTTAATTGCCATTTTTAGTAGAAAAGAAACCAGGACAAAGTGAATTAAAATATTTATTGTATGTAATTATAGGTTGTATGTGGGCCTCAAAGAGAAATTTTAGATATTGTTGTGAGACATCCTGGTTCAGCTCACGATGCTGTAATTTTTGATCGAAGTAGTGTTCGATGTCGTTTCGAATTGGGATATCTCGACGGAATTTTACTTGGAGATAGTGGATACGCATGTCGAAAATATTTACTGACTCCTGTATTGAGGCCTGATAACAATGCAGAAATTAGGTATAACAATGCACATAAGAAGACCAGAGTTATCATCGAACAACTATTCGGAAGCGCCGCTTTCCATGCTTATATTATGGTTTAAGAACAAAACTAAGTACATCGGTTGCAATTATTTGTGCTACTGCTGTTTTGCATAATATATGTATTTACCATGGATTCGAGGAAATTGAACAAGAACATAATGAACAAGAACAGAATGAAGTATTCGAGGCTGTTTTCAATCGAGAAGAAGATGGCATTGGACTTACATATAGAAGAGCTTTTATACTAAGGCATTTTTCGTAGAATATATGTGTGTTATTTTGAAAATGTAAATGCTGTATAATCTGTAAAATAAAAAAATTTGTAAAACAAAAAGGTAGACATTTAACACTAATTAAATAACATTATTTAACACTTTAATGACACACAATTATATTACATAAAAATACTCTTTATTATTGGAAAATGTAATACAACTGCGTACAAAATTACTGTTATTAACAAAAAGCCATTGAAAATAAAATAATAGGAGTGAATCTAAAAGATAAGGCTGAAGCTTGAGAAAGGGTTGCTGTGAAATATCGCATGCGAGGTTTACCACTTCGCACCAGCAAACAATTAAAAAAATTCTGGGATAATATGAAACAAAAGTTTATAATAATGAATGCAGATAAAATGGCTAAGCTAGCTGTTTACCTTATTACTCTGTTAGCACATATTAATAAAACTATTTAATTCTATATCAACATATCTTTGAACACATTATGAAAGACAGATAGAAAAAGAACATATATAGCACCAAACATATTCTTTGGTATTCTTTGGTTTATATGACTTATACGATATACGTATAAAATCAATGTACATACATATATTATAATAAAATAGAATATACGATCTTATAAGAAGCTTTCACAGCGGGTATTATCAACAAATATCTTAAATTATAGTGCCATGAGGACTGAGGATTCGGACTGCATTTGTACTTTCTCTTCAGTCATTGAAAGCTTGAGCAATGCGATTTTGACTCCCGTTTCAGCAACTTTCATTTTCATTGAATGAAGTTCCCGCTGCTGTTCGATTGCTTCGCGAAGCTTTATCAATCTCAATTCTTTTTCATCGTTTATATTTTGAAAATTTTTTTGAATTTTGGATGCTGGGATTTGGTTCTTTTTCATGCCACTCGTAGCAATTTTGTTTACATTGAACTTGGAAGTAGCACTACTACTACTACTGCACTTGGAATATTGGCCTGTTGAATTTTCTCCATGTTGAGCTACTTGTGGAGGAACATTTTCCCCATCACTTGCTATTGATATCGAATCTTCATCCTCGCTACTTATTAATTGCCTTTTTAAGTTACTTTTTATATGGTCTGAAAAGAGATAAGTACAAACGAATTAGATTGACAAACACCATATAAATTTAAAACATTATTATTTTATGAGATAAATAAATAAATAAAAATAAGAAATAAATACAAAAATATATC